CTGAGTTAAGGCAGACAATGTGGTTATCCCAGCAAAAATGAATATTAGGAGGTATGAGTATCTTTTGTGCACCCAGTGTTGTCTCTAATTTAGAACCTCTTGCAACATTTTCCCAGACTTATGGTACTCACTGGGCCTTTTAACTCAAATGTGTTTCGTGTACTGCCTTGAGACATATGTTCTAGCTTGTTTAGAATCATTTAAGTACCTAGTAATTTTCCTCTTCCTCTGTTGACATCTGGAGAAATCCATTCTCATTTTAAGGCACTTTGTCTCCAATTTTAATAATGAGAGTCTGTCAAGAGATTCTTAGTGTTTGTTTACTGAGAAGGATATTAGTGTTTCTTGTTACTTGCATCATAGTTTCTCAGTAATGGAAGTCTTTGAAAGTAAACACACATAATAACCTACCTTGATGAAGATCTCAAGGGAATCTAATCAATTCTAATGAAACCAACATGAAAAACTGTTGTGGTTGCTAACAAAAAATAATTTCACTCTTTTATCAATTTGCCTAATAGGCATTGATTGAGTTTCTGTTTACAATTACAACTCTAAAATATATAAAATTCTGTTCCCTGAGAAATTTACTGTCTAGCATTGAGGTGAAAATAAAAAAGATAAGACCTCATGTGATAGGCTTACTCCGGCCATCAGTGACAAGAGTAGAATACATCTGACCCCAGGAGAGATTACTCTTCAAGGAGATAATTCCCTTGTCTCACCTGCATCTACTCAGCTGTAGCTGTCATTTTGCAAATTCTCCTCTTTACTTCTTGCTATGGCTTGAAGATGTCCTCCAAAGTTCACGTGTTAGAAATTTAATTTCCAAATGCATATGCTAATGATATTTAGAGGTAAGACCTATGTATGGTGATTGCTTTCATAATTGGACAATCATTCATGAATTAATGGCTTATCAAGGTAGTGGTTGTGTTATAAAAGTAAGCTCCTTCTGCTGTCCTTGTTCTGTCTTAAAATGAGATGCTCTCTGCCATTTTGGGACTTAGCAAGGCTTTCACCAGATGTTAACAGTTACTGGCACCATGCTCTTGGACTTCAGAGCCTCCAGAACCAAGAGCTAAATAAACCTCTCTTCTTATAAATTATCTAGGATATAGTATTCACTATAACAACAGGAAACAAAGACACTTGCCTATGGCACTGTTCTCTGTTATGGCTTTCCACATCTCAGATACACTAAGCAATTTAGAAGGCAAAGCTATTCTCCTACATATTTAGTAAAGCGATCAAAGACTGAACAAATGTTTGTTGAATAGTGATAAGAATAGTTAACATTGATTGAGATTTTACTATGCACCAGAGTGTGCTTTTATGTACCATCCTTGTATCATATTGAAAGAAAAAGTAAGAACCTGATAGGAAAAATATTAGGACATAATGTCTTGATTAAAGATATTCTGACAGCAAATAAGAGAACCTCATCTAAGATCATTTGCAGATGAAGATGAAATGGGAATTGATTGGGAGAGATTTTTAAAATATTTTATAGAAACCAATGGCAAGAAGTGGATCTAAGTTTTAGCAGGTATTGTTACCAGGAAAACTATTTGAGACATAAGTAATATATAAGTAATTTATCCTCTTCTCATCTACTTTCCCTCCCCTCCCCTCCACCCACTCTCCACCTCTCTCTCTCTCTCTGTCTGCCTGTCTCTCTCTCTTTCTCTGTTTCACTCTCTCTCCTTCCCTCCCTCACTTCCTCTGTCCCTCCTTCCCTCCCTTCCTCTCTCCTTGCTCTTTCTTTATGTTCTAGTGATTCTCTATTGATGCTTTGCTGATTAGCATTCAGGCAGTGCCACAGAATCACACCGTAAGTTCAACCTCAGATTAACATCACTCCAGTTAGGCTAAAGAGCCTAGACTGAGAGTGGCACCTGAGCCCCAAATCTATATGCCGGGACACACTCTGATTGTTCCTGATGGCTCAAGTACTCAAGCTTGTGCTAAACAGATGTGTCAAGATTCCCACATCATATTACCATATTATCAGACATGGTAGCCTGGGACTCAGGTTTTTGGATGAGGTCAGGCACTTCTTACAAAAGAGTAAGGAAGAGTAAAGGACTCAACACATTTTCTAAACTGTAGTAGCTAAAACTGGGTAAGAAAATGAACCCATAATGTAAAGTGAAATAAATCAGATACCCAAACTTAAATACCGTATAGTTTCTCTTATATGATAAACCCAAAGTATAAGTGAAAAGCAAAATGAAAATAGATAATAATAAACAGGGAGATAGATCTTTTGCAAATGGGAAGGGTTCCAAGAGAGGGAAGGAGAAGGGGACGTAAAAAGAATTAAGATGTGCCGTGTACATGTACTAACTACCCACAGTGAATGTACAATGAAGTATTCATTGTATACTGCAAATATGTACTAATAAAAATAAAATTCAAAAAGAATTCATAATTACATAACCAACAGAACTTGATGATTAACTGAATGTGAGAAATAGACAAAAGGAGGAATTGGAGGTAACTCTTAAGTGTTCTATGTTGAAAAACAAGGAGGGTAAAGAAGGAGACCCTTCCTCTAGTGTGGCAGACAGAGAATGATGAGGGATGAGAGAGAGATGAGGGAGAGAAGTCTGTGAAAGAACATGATGACCAAAAATCTCTCTTATTGAGAAAAATATATCCCATCTAAAGTTTCTGCTCAGAACAGTGAGCTGTGAGTCTTGAGATATGTACATCGCACTTGTAAAAGAATCCCAGTCAAATGAGATTGACTTAATCAAAGACCAGGCTTTTCTTTTCCCACCCATCTTCTGTTCCCACTCCCAGAAATACTGGGTGTATTTGCAGGAAATTTGCATACACACATACACACACATGATTATAGATATCTTCAGTATCCCAAATATACTCCCTGAACTCTACTGTGTACTGAAAGCAAACCACCATGAAGTCACACCTAAGAGCAGAATTAGATTCAGTACAATTCTGTTACAGAACCACTCACAGCTTGTCTCTCTGATTATGGTTTCTCCCTGTCCCAGTCCACCAAAATGCATTTCTCTAGTTGTTTTCCAAAAATATGGATTTCCACATGTCCTTGACCAAAGAGTTTATGATGTTTTCTATAATCTATTTCCAGATTTCTCTAGCAAACTTTGGAGTTTTAAAAATCATGCTTTATCCTCTCCAAATATCTAAAAATGTTATTCATTTTATCATTGTTATAATAAACAAACTTAAATCTGGATGCTTGCTTATAGAAAGGTCAATTTTTCCCCCTGAGAAATATCATCCTTAGTCCCAGCTCTGGACCTTTGCTTATGTTGTTTTTCTGGAAGATCTGTTCTCCACTCCACCTCAGAAAGTGTCCCTTTAATATTATGCCTAATCCTTGAGTTGCACAGGTGAGGAAACTGGCCCTACAAGGTTTGAGTAATTTCTTACAAGCCTCACGCCTATTTTGTGGCAAAGGTAAAACTAACATTTAGCTTTGAACACTAGTCTTTGCTTTAAACAACACACCTTTAAACTAGATTTCCAAAATTGTATCACTACACCCCTATTCCAAGTTGCCATAAAGGACAGAGTAGGTTAAGTAAGGTAAAACATATCTGTTTATTAGATTTATCCATTGTCACCTGTGAACAGGGTAGACTGGTAGAATGTGGTCATAGTTTATTCTACAGTGAGTAAACCATGCTGCTGATCAGTTCTCAAGGATGGCAGCTGACTAAACAAACTTAGTGAGTCTCTTTCTACTTCTCATCTATAAATAGGTCAAGTGTTACTTGCACACTTGAGTGGAAGGATTTTGTCTACATAGAGAGAATGAGCCAGCAATTGGGATCTTTATGGCCCATTTGTGGGACTATATGAGATTGAACAAAGGTTACTCCATGTTGCTTCACTCGATACTCCCCCTCCCCTTCTGAGTAGACCATGTGATGTCATTTCTGGGAAGAAAAACAAAGGTTCACGGAATGCACAGTGTTCTTTGAAATTACCCAACTCCCCATAAACAGGAAATGTACTGGAACATGCTATCTACTATCTAAATGTACTGGAACATGTTATCTACTATCTAAATGTACTGGAACATGCTATCTAAATCCCCTAACCATCAGCATCTCCTTTTGTAATCTCTGCTTGCTAACTTCCCCTTGCAACCCCTATAAAAGAGCCTCGGACTCTGAGCCAGTGGCCTCTCTAAGCTTGTTTGCTTGGAGGGTGCTGTCTGGCCAGACTAATAAAGGTCTGTTTTACTTTCCAACTTGTCCGGTGTGTTCTCTCCTGGGTGTTCTTTGCTGCAGTCAGCTCCTCGGTGTGTTTGATAAGGCCCTTGGTCTTACACATTTACCATTTCTTCTCCTCATTACCAAATGTAAGGTATGAAAATTAACAATAATTATGTAAAGTCTTAGAGGCAGAGCAGATGCTCAATTAATTTAGCTTTACTTATTTTTCCCATAACCCAGTCCTTCCAAGACTTGCCTGAACCAATGAGTACCATTATTCATACCTGTTCCACCTTCTTCACCCCAAAACTTCCTTCTAACTTCCACTGCAGCCTAGGCTTCTTCACTCCTGCTCTTTGTATCTTCTTGAATGCCCATCTACCTGAATTACTGTAAACTATCTGCTACAGATACTCATCTGGGTAAGGATACTTATCTCTTTATTATTTTACTCTCTAATGCTGAACATTTATCTGAATAACTTCTCTTCTTTGTCACCTGATTCTGGCTGTAATACTCTGTGTTCTTGGAGGCAGCTTGACACCACTGAGTTCTTCCTCTACTCTTATCGAGGGAACACGAGTTCACAATTTGATATTTCACATTCTGGTTCATTATAGCTTTTACCCAGGTCAGACTACTGTGGCTCAGGATTGCATTGTGACTTTCACCAGGCCTTGCATTTTTGTCTTTTGCAGACCTTCCTCTACAAAGAATTTTAAAAATTAGACTTTACAATTGTGTTGATAGAAAGACAAATATAGTCTTGGCCGAGTTTATTATCTGTCATTAATATTATATTCATGTTTTTCTTCTGATATTTGCTTAAGAATAACTAAAACTTTTTAACAGGTCCCTGAAAGTATGTGGATTCTATGTGCTATGCATTCCATGTTTAGAGGATAACTTGGCCCTGTTACGAGTCCAATATTCTTGAGTCCAGTTGTGTCATAGACTAGAGACATGGCAAAGACAAAGAGGGCTATATGTTGTTAAAAGACGATTAACTCTTTGATCTAGTTATAGTGAGTGATTTGTCATTTTAGATGAGATCTAAAGGCATTGAGATGCCTTATTTCTATTGTTTTCTTTCAAACTTATAATTTGCAGAGTGGATCCTTTCAGCTCACTTTTGGCCTGTCCTTTCTCGGTGGATTTATTTTAAGAAGATGGATCTGTTAGAACTTAGAGAAGCTTCAGCATTCCTCAGAAGAAGTGAGGCTAACTTGCCTTTGATACCAGCCATGACTTTTGTTGGTAAGAATTGTAGTGGCTGCTGGTTCAACTTTATTACTTCAAGTTCGCGACTAAGATATTTAATTGAAAAGAACCATCAATTCTGGAGACAAACTTATTTCCTTGAGCTGCAATCAGCCTCTATGAATCTCTGAACAGTTGAGGAGCTCATAGTGTCCAGGCTAAGAATGGAAGTTTGAAAGAAAGAGGAGGATGGTAGGAAGGCAGCTCAGGCCAAGGCCCTACTTACTTGGTCCTCAGACAGGTTTTCTCATCCAGGAGCTGCTGTTAACCATACACATGGCCCAAGGACTGATCATAGACAAGTCTTTCTCTGAAATGTCATGGTTATCAGTGAATAAATATCTAAATAGAGAAAGGGGACTATGACTTAGTTTAGAGGCGGAGTTTGTGCACTGAAGAAGAAAGAAGCAAAAGACTCTAGGAAGACTGGAAAACAGTAATTAATCGCTGGTCCTGTTCTGAATTTCTCAGTGTTGGAACTTGGCCTTCTGGTGGTTATCTTCTAGGTCAGCAGGTTTACTGAGCCAACAGTAAAGAAAATATAATTGAGAGACCTCTGTACTGTGACTCCCAGTTTTAGGCAAGGAGAAAGTTGATGAGGATTTAGCCTTAATATAAAGGCCAAGTTCTGTACTGAAATCTTTAAATAAATATTGGATTTTCCCCCTTCCCCTTTACATGTCTAGGCTGTGTGGTCATTCTCTGAATTTCAGCTAATTGGAAATTTAGAAGTCAGATTCATAGTATGATCTAGCATCAGGTCACCAATATGTTTTCATTCAAATATTATTCAACAGTGCAACATAAAAATTGAATGCTGTTCTAGTCATCAGAATTAGTCAACATTAGATTTTACTATGGCCAATTATAATTTTAGCCAGTTATGTAGGACATTATATTTCCATCAGAGAACAACCTGTCCTGGATAAGTTCCCAGTTTCCAGTCATTGAATTTCATTATTATCATTGGATTTGAGAGCAGCTAATTATAATTCATCAAGTCAAATACAATAATAAAATAATCCCTGAGGTCAGAACTGGCACATCAAGGCTTATCACAGGTTGTTAGATTGCTAAGGACAAGATGACAGTGGTGCCAGGGAGAAAAATCAAAATTGGGTCAAAGCTTTAAAGATAATTATACAGTTCATTTACAGATTCAGCATTATAAAAGTTATTTAAAGTATAGCAATTAACATAATTTTCAGTTAAGTTTTTTGAACAGACAATTGTTCCTCTTAGAAACGTACTGGCAATAAAAAGATGAACGTCATCTGAAGTTTTTCATCACCCTGTGCTGGTAGGCAATGGAGTTTGCTGTTTTAAATGCAGGCAATGAAAATAGTGTGATAATGAATATTTTGCCCAGGAGTCTTGGATTCACATTCTTAATCTTTGTCATCTCTGATTGTGTAATTAGAGCAAAGCACTTCACCTCATTGAGCCTTGGTTTCCTTACCTGCCAAATGGGGATAATAATACTTTCTCCGTGTACCTTCCTACATGGCTGTAAAGACCAAATGAGGCTGTCAACTTGCAAAGAAACCATAGTGCATTTTAATGAGACCCAGGAAAGAAATCTAGAACTTCTGAGTGTCAGGGAGGGAGCCCCTGACACTGGCTTTAGAGATAAAGATGAAACACCATTCCAAAACTAAATGTAAATGATTTTATATCAGAAGTATAATATCTATTTAAGATAGTTTGAATACATTGTAACCCCAATTTTGTTCAATATCACAGTTGGTTCCCTGTGAGTTGATTACGGGTGGTTTTAAATTTTTTTCTTATACATTTTAAGATTTCTCCAATAAATGAATATCATCTTTATATTGTACAAGGTATTTAAGCATTTCCAAATGTGAAATAATATAGGTAAAAGCCTCCTTACTATTCAGATGAGAAAACCAAAGAGATAAGGTAATTGCTTTACATTTAGCAAGACTAGTATTAAAATCCGGATCTCCTAACTCAAATGCATTGTTATCTGAATTTTCAGCCCTGCATTGTTCATGATCATAAGAAATTAAAAGTTGACTGATTTCATGTAGTTTATTTTTTAAAATATTCTTATCCCTGAGACAGGGAGCAATTTTCCAAAATATTTCTCTCCCATTGTTTTCAGGGTGATGAAATAAAGAGTTCATCATGAAGGTGGTGAGTCTCCTCCTTGAGGGAAAATTGGAGAAAGAAAAGCTAAGCATTGGCTGGAGGAAGCATGCTATAATGAAGGAACACTGATTTAGAAGGTGGCTGTTCTAATTTATAGTGTCATTTTTCTAATGATGGCACTAATTAGCTATGTACCTAAGGTGTGACTTTTGGAAACTCTACTGCTTTTCCCAGCTTCTTTTTCTGAGAAAAAATGAGACAGAGAAACAGAAAATGAAATAGACAGACATAGAAACACACATGCATGCACACGTGTGCACACACACACACACAAGTGGTGGGGGACTAAGCAGGTGATCTTCAGATTGCTTTCAGGTGATAATAGTTGTTTTGAAATGCAGAGCATTTACCTTAAGCAAACAAAATGTATGCTGAATGGGTGCTTTTCAAAAACAAGCATATATTCATAGACATAACACAAAGGAAAATTAATGTTTGCAAAATGGACTCAAAGCAAAACCAGCGTTCACAACATAAACAAGTAGAAAGCCAATGGACAATGTGGTAGATGGCAATATAAAATCTTCCTGCCAAGCACTTTTAGTGGAGCATTATTTGTAATCAGAACAGAGAAGGCAGCACATTAGCACATTACAGATTGTGATAACAAGAAGGTAATGAGTAACAACATTCCTTGCAAAGTCAAGGATGGTGTGGAGGTGGCAAATGGTGCCCAATTTCATTGCCACCTTTGGACAAACCACTTCTCTATCCCATTGCCCACCACTGGAGAAAGCATTTGGTGTAGTCCACTTTTCCTGCAGCAGTGAGGACTTGTTTTTGTGAACTCGTATTATAGGTGATGGTGGCAACTGAATTGACATTACCCATTAGTGCCATAGTTACAGTTTCCCTGTGTCTTCTTTAACCATCAGCTAGGATTTCCACCCTTCCAGCCAAACACTCTCCCCTCTCCCTTCCTCCTCTCTGGCTGAGGAGCTGTGATACAGGTCCTCTTGCGATCTTCTAGAACTCATTTTCCTTTAAAAGCCTATTTCTTACTTATCTTCACTATCTGGCTCAAGTGGGTGAGAAGTTGAGAGGTATTTAAGTGAGCCTCAAGAAGCTGCTGCAGATCACGAGTTCTGACTCATTTCACCTACAATCTTTTATGGGTTAACCACTTTGTGGAGGGCTTCTTTGCAGGGGTAAGGAGACTGAAGAGAGAAAATTAACATATGAAGGAAATATAAGTCAGTTTTATTATATGAGAAAAATAACTAACACTCCCTCCTAAATATCTTCTCTAATTTTAGCATGTCATTTACTTTGCAGGCTTTCATTCAAAGATTAAAAATGTAATCTAAAGTAATACTGAAGGACAAGATCTAAATGGGTTTTGTGGGGTGGAAGAGGTGCTAGGAAAGGGAATAAGCACTAGGGCAAAATCTGAGGGCCTGGAGCTGTGAGTAGAAGTAGTGATGTGGGTAACACAGGTGGGTAAGTTTTCTGGAGATGTTGGTAGGTAACTTTTTTGTGTCAAAATGGCTTATGATGTCCCCAAGGCTGTGCTTGCTAAGGTATTTCTTTCTCTAATGCAGTCATTGTATGGGTGTATCTTCAGAGTAAACATTCACAATTGTATATAAAGTAGTAATTTCCTATATTGGTGACTCTAAGTCAACAAGAAGACTTACAAGAAATAAGATCATATGTTTTTCTCCAAGTACCATGGCTACAATTCATTTTTTTCCCACTACAGAAAACAAGAAATGCTGGATTCATGATGGGAAGAATGCCTACATTGAAGCTGAGGTTAAAGGGAGTGAAAATGATGGAAAAATTATTGTTGAGACTAGTAATGGAAGGGTGAAAGAATATTTCATCTTGGGAATGACTGTGTTCTCTATTTCATCAAATCTCCTTTCTGTGATATTTTTATTAAGGACATGAGGTAGAAGATGCTACTGACCAGTTTGGAGACTTCAGATGTTTTTAAGTTGTCTCCACTTACTATAAAGACTTAATGAAAAGCACTGAATAAATCAGAGTAAAATGATTGACAAAAATTGACTCTAGAACTCACAACCATTTCCACTTCTTTCGTTCATGCTTCAAGTTCTTTTTTTAAAGGTTTCCCTTGAAATGAATAACGACCTATAGATTTCTGAAGCAAGCTGTGTTTGAAGATCAAAAAAGAGATGTCTAAACTGAATAAAAATAGCATAGTTTCAAAGAAGCCAAGAGATAGAGGAATGCCCAGTTAAAGTTATGTGAAATACTAGAGAAACATTAAGAGCTTGAAGAAAGCCTTGGATTTCAGACATAGGAAATCATCTTTGTAAGAGAAGATTAGGCCAAGTGTTGGGGGCATAAGACTGTAAGCATTCGTAGGGGTATATGCAGTGAAACTAACAATCCCCAGTCTCTCCTCCCTGTTATCAGGGCTTTTGATACAGCAATGTAGTGTTGAGCAGACAGATCAGTCAGATACTTTGACTGTATCACTTACCTCAAGTTACCTGTAAGCCACATGTCGTGATCTGAGACCCATTTTCACCCTGACTTGGATGCACAGTTCCAAGATTTTATAGATGATTCCTTGCCCTTTTCTAAATTCTTTCTAATTGTGTTCCTCCCCAATTCTATATCAAGTCACACCTTATAATGTACAGGTTATCTTTGTTTTAGGAAAGTTTGTCTTTTTAATTCTCTGTGCATTTAGGTAAATTTGATCTAATTGAATGCCACTTGAGTTTTAAAATTCTAGAGGCTATTCATAAATACTGCTTATGGTGCTTGATTATCCCTCTCTGAAAGCCAATATCCATGTGTAAAACAATCCAAAATTTGGTAGATTTTTGTATAACTAAATAATGGAACCAAGGAAAGAAAGTTGTCCTTTTTAACTGGAATATAAATGGGTAAACAAGGGAAAATTGTTTCCTGATCCAGTGTAAGCTAAGGTTACACAGGGCTGGCTAGCCTTGAGACAATACTTGTAGTAGAGAAAAACAAAAAGCAGATTTAAATGTCTCTTGTCTTATTCCCATCATTATTTATGCCATTTTTTTCTTAGTGATACTGGGGATTGAACCAAGAGCCTTGGACATACTCAGCAAACTCTACTATTGAGCTACAACCACAACCTATTGTGCCAATTTTTAAAAAAGATTTTACTCAGATAAAATATATGTGCCACATAGTTCACCTCTTTAAAGTTTACATTTAAATAATTTTTAATTAATATATCTAAAGTAAATGTGCAACCCTTACCATGATCTAATTTTAGAATATTTTAATCATCCCCCAAAGAAGCATTGTGCTCATTAGCAATCAGTACTCTTCTCACTCCCCAATCCCAGGCAACAACTAATCTACTTTCTGTCTCTTCAGATTTGCCTATTTTGGTGATTTCAGATAACTTGGGTCATACAATAGATAATTTTTGCATATGGCTGTTTTCTTTTAGCATAATATTTTTGAAGTTTATTCATTTTGCAGCTTGTATGAGTACTTGATTCTTTTTTATAGCTAAATAACATTCCATTTTATAGATATAACCTATTTCATAATATTCATCAACTGATGGTTATTTGAATTGTTTACATATTTTGGCCATTGTGAATAATGCTGCTATAAGCATGCATGTGAAAATTTTCATGTGGATGTATGTTTTCATTTCTCTTGGGTGTGAATTTAAGAGTAAAATTGCTGAAGCATATGGTAGCCCTTGTTGAGCATTTTGAGGAATAGCCAAACTGTTGCATAGTGGCAGTACCATTTTATATTCCCACCATTAATGTATAAGTAGTGCAATTTTTCTCATTCTTACCAACACATCCTAATATCTTTTTGATTATAGCCATACTAATGGGTATGAAGTGGCACTGTATTTCGATATGATTTTTATTTGCGTGTTCCTTAATGATCAGTGATGTTGAATATCATTTCATGTATTTATTGGCCTTTATTTTTCTTTGGAAAAAATACCTATTCAAGCCCTTTGCCCAACTTTTTTGTTTTGTTTTGTTTTGTTTGTACCAGGGATCAAACTCGGGTCTTTGAGCTTGTGAAACAGGCGGTGGAACCACTGAACTAAATCCCCAACCCCTTTGCCCAACTTTTAATAGGGGTAATGCCTTTTCATTATTGATTTATGTATTAGTCTATTTTCTATGATGAAATATCCAAATCTGGGTAACTTTATAAAGTAATGGGATTTAATGTACCCATAGTTCTGGATTTTCAAGTGCATGACCTGGGTATAATCTCAGCTCTAGTGAGGAATTCATGGCAGATGGCATCAAAGTAGTGGAAATACATGTGAGACGGAGAGATCATATAGAAATTCAGGAAGCCAAAGAGTCTAGGAACTGGTCAGACTTCTTCTTTCAAATAAACAAATAAATAAATAACCTTCTCCTGAGAACTGGGGGTGCCACAAAGAGTTCCTCTCAAATGCAGCACCTAAACATTCCCCACTAGTCCCACCTCTTAAATGTTTCACACAACCTATCACCATTGTCACAGTGGGGACAAGTGTCTAGTACATAAATCGCAAGGGCAAACCATGCCCCAAGTCATAGCATTCTGTCCCTAGACCCCCAGATTCATGTTTGTCATAATGTAAAATGCATTAATTCCATGTTAGTAGTCCTAAATTCTTGATTTCTTTCATCATCATGTAAATATTCAAGTCTAACTTTGAATCTAAGACTCAAGGCAAACTTTTTTCAAAGCTTGTGTACGTTTCAGTGTGTGGGGGGGGAGGCAGGAAGTAGACCCTGTGTTAGTCAGCTTTCCATCACTGGACCAAAATGCCTGAGATAACTAACTTAGAGAAAAGATTTATTTTGCCTTAGTTTTGGCAGTTTCAGTCTGTGATTGGTTGGCCTCATTTGCTTTTGGGTCTGTGCTTAGGCAGCTCACCATGGCTGGAGTGAGTAAAGGAGCAAAATCCACTCACCTCATGAGCAGCAGGCAAAAGAAAGTGAAGTGAGTGCTGGGTTTCCACAATCCCCTTCAAGGTCATGCCCCCAGTCACTTGAAGACCACTCAGTATGCCACACCTCTTAATGGTTCCACCATTTCCCAATAGTACACCTGAAGGACCAGACCTTTAACACATTGGACTGTGAATACACTGAAAATCTAAGCTATAGCAGCCAGCCTCACTATATTCTAGCAGCATCAGACAGCCTTTCTTCCATGACTTTGCTGATTGTGGGCCACATGGTTACTGCCTCAGACTGGATTTGCATGTTGTCTGGAATTTTTCCCAGCCAATGTTGCATGTTGCTGTTTCTCTACCTTTGTGAGGACTGCAGCTCTACCTTCGTGAGTCCACTAAGTATGGCCTAATCAGGGTCTTTCTGTAGGGGCTCCAACCCTGTGGCAAACTACTGCTTTGTTTTTCAGGCTGTCGTTAAAATCTGGTAGAAGCCACCATGATTCCATAGTTCTTGCATTCTGTGTATCTGAACCAGCATCACATAGATGCCCCTGAGGTCTGCCACCAGCATGCTGAGAACCTGGGCCTACTTGAAACTCAGATGGAGCCATGGAGTATTTCACTGGTTGAAGGCTAGGAAATTAATCCTGAGATAGGCCTGTGCAGCAAGCCCAGGGTGAGAGTGCTGGGATAGGTCTGTGAATCAATTCTACGTTTCCAATCTCTAAGCCTGTTATAGGAGGTGTAGTCTCAGAGATTTCTGAGATGCCTTTGAGACCTTGTTCTCATTGTCCTGATATGAAACAATAGGCTCCCTTTTATCCACAATAGCCTCTATACCTATCAGTTTCTAGGTTACACCCTTGTCTTTTCCCCTAAAACATAACTTTTTGCTCTTTCCTGGGCAAGTTGTGAATTATCTAAATCTTTCTGCTTTCTTTTAGCTTCCATGTTTCTCTGTAAATCTGACAAAAAGAAGCCAATGAATTCTTTGTTGTTTTGAAAGCTCCTCCACTAAATAAATTAGTCCATTATTCTTAAATTCACCTTTCTATAAAGCTCTAGTGCATGGACATAATGCAGTAAAGTTTTCCATAATGGTATAACAAGGATGGCCTTTTTTCCAATTTCCAATTGGATCCTCCTTTCCATCTGAAACTAGTTCTTCAGTTTCCTCTTTGGAGCCATCACCAGAATCACCCATAAAACTGTTTATGACATTCTAGGCTTTTTGTAGTCTGCTCCTCCAAATTCCTCCAACATCTGCCTGTCACCCAATTTCAAAGCTGTCTCCAGAATTTTCAAGTGTTGTTATGCATCAACCCCACTCCTTGGTGTCAGTTTTGTGTATTAATCTATTCTCTGTTGCTAGAGTGAAATACCAGGAGGCTGGATAATTTTATAATATAAAGCAGTTTTTAGCTCACAGTTCTGGAGGTTTAAGGGCACGCCACCAGTATCAGTTTGGCTCTGGTGAGAACTCATGACCAATGGCGTCACAGTTTAAGAAACCCATCCAAGAAGGAGGGTTTACATCACAAATCAAGAAGCTATAAGAGGTAGGGAGTGGCAAAGCCTTTTAGAACAATCATCTCATAAGAACTAATGGAAACAATATTGTTTCCAGTGCATGCAGCATGAGTAAGCATAAGATTTTGTCTCTTCTCTTCAGGGTCTGAGTGCCAAGCAGGACAAATTCCAGCAAATGAATTTTGCAAAGTTTGACATGATTGAAGACAAAGCACAGCTAACTCACCTCAATGAAGCATCTGTGCTGCACACCCTGAAGAGGTGCTATGATCGCTGGGTGATCTATGTGTGTATATCTGATTTACTGACAAAATAACTTCCTGATGCTCCCAACTTCTCCCACATTATATCTTAAGTTTATATTACATAGAAACAATCCTTGAAAAACACCTACTGGGAAAGGACTTGTCTTAACATTTCTTCAATTCAATTTTATTGGCATTCATGTCCCTTTCCACAGGTCATCATTTTAAGTGAAAACCATGAGGACTGCAAGCTGATAGGCCAGAGTCCAAGTGCTAGCTCTTTTACTTAATAATTAAGGTTCTTATTTTTTTAAACTTGAGTGGAAAATAGATTTGGGATGTTTCAGTTTTGAAAAAAGTGAAAAGATAAAAATGGAGGATCCTTGCAGTCATACACATGTGCACACCCACACATGCATGCCTGTGTGGAGATGCATAAATGCACATTTAACACTCCTAAAAGCACTTACCAAGCATCTTATACGACAGTCTTTGTCTTTGGGCTTTAGGGAAAGAGATGAGCTGAGCCCCTAAAGTGTCCTTATGCTGTTGATAGCAATCGTCACCCTGATTTTCAGGAAGATTATGCATCACCTTTACTACTAGACTGTGAGCTCCTTGGAGGCATGCATATTTTTGTCATGCTTGATTTGCTTTTGAGCCATTCACTAAATATTTTTTAAATGAACCAGAAAAAGATAAAATGGCACATTTATATACCCAGTGGTCGTGAAAAATGAACACTGTTAGGACCATGATGGGATCTAACCAGAGGATTGATAAACATAGAACTTGTGTTTCTCTTCTGTATGTGTTTCTCTTGTGTGTGCACCTGCTGCTCCATCCGTGCAGGTCTAAAAGCAACATCCAGGCCTAGCTTGACAATGTGTGACACTTCTGCCAAGGGGCAGCCAATGGAGATGGAATTGTTTTGCTCTTCACCTCCTCCATCTTATTGAGAAAGCATCCATATACTCCCAGATGAGGACAGGGTTGTTCTCTTACCACATCTCTTCTGTCTTGTTGAACTTTGACTTTGTGAAGTCACCTTTTTATAAAGTGAAATAATGATGCCTGGCCTTCCATGGTGATTTGGAAGATTAAATAAAAGCATATAGATAGAGCACAAAGTTCAGTATCTGTCACCTAATTAGTGTTCAGTAAATGGAGTGATTTTTCCTCACCATCATTAAACTTGGTGAGAGTTGGTTGCTCACTTTCTTTGATTTAATCAAAACCTATGCATCAGAAGCAGCACTGAGAGATTAAGTTAAAATGGTGGCCTCTCTGCTTTACCATGTGTCCATTTTAGTTTTCTTGGGATATGGTAACAAAGTCAACACAACTGAGGTGGTTTAAAACAACAAGTATTTATTCTCTTACAGTTCTGGAGGCCACAAGACATTGGAGGCCTTCATCCATCTTGAACATTAGCCAGAGGCCATAGAGCCGAGTCAGCAGGCTCACACTCCCTCTGGAGGAGAATCATTCCAGTTTTTTCCAGTTTTCAGGGTTATTGGAATTCTTTGTGGCCACACTCACTTCAGTCTCTGCCTTCATCTTTTATCACGTTTTCCTGTGTGTGTCTCTACTAAGGAGATCAGCCATTAAATTTAAGGCCCACTGGGATATCAATCTTCAAGTCCTTAATTAAATCTATAAAGACTCTTTTTCCAAATAAATTCACACTCACAGTTTCTAGGGATTAAGATATACTGTAAATATATCTTTTGGGGAGCCACAATTCAACCACTTCATTGACCAAGGCACCCACACGAGCCGTTTATACTCCATCAGTGTCCTAACAGTCAAGTTCCTAATCTTGAGGAAGCAGCAATTCCTTTCTACCTCAAATTCCTGATGGCTGGATACTGAAATCCCTGCAGGGCCGCTGTTAGCATTCTGTCTTCAAAAGCTGTATGTGTTAGACATGTTAGCAGTTAGCAAATCTCCCAGGAGAGAGGTAATCCCAGGTGCTGATATTAGGTTGACCTGCCTCTGTTTCCTCTATTTATACAAAGCAAAAGCTCTCTTCTTTTGTGTTCTTTTTATAAGTAAATATTCAAGCAAATATTATTACCAGAAGACGAGTTGACAGGCCTGAAAATGTTTCTAATCTATTTTCCAAAATCTTATCTTCCTTCAGATATATTCAGATCTCTCCTATGTGACCCCAAACCCTTACAAATGGCTTCCAGTGTATCAGAAAGAAGTCACGGCTGCCTACAGAGGGAAGAGGCGCTTGGAAGCTCCCTCTCACATCTCTGCTGTTGCTGATAATGCCTTTCAGGTTAAGCTTCACAGTGAGTGACTGCCCACAAAATGAAAAGTAAAAATATCTGATCTACTTTTCCTGTACCTCCTAGGGCTATTGGGACAATTAGCTTGTACTTCAAAGTGCAATAATGCATCTACAGTGCTGGGCTGGTGCCTGGCCCAGAGTAAGCCCCTGTAGATGTCAGCTATTACTACATAAAGCATCTGATATACTGTCTGACACAAAGATGTTATTCTACAGCTATCATTGCACAATGATTCCTAAAAGGCTTAAAATGAAAAAAACGTTAACTATTAGTTGATTACTCTTTTCATTTAGAGCAAGGAAATATGCCTAAAATTTATATGTTCTTCTGACCAGCATACCTAGAAAAACTGTTTCATTCTACAATTAAATTATATTGTTTTACTAACTAAATCAACCAAATCCTTTCTCTGTGTCTGACTTCAAACAGAAGCTAAGGAAATTATAAATAAGTTCATGCCAATAAGTATATAAGCCTCTAGTATAAGCATATTCTGGCATTTTTCTTCTTTTGTAGATCTTGAGAACCAGTCTATACTGTTCACGTAAATGTGTAGCCTTGTTTTGCTTTTTGGTCAGCATGAAGTTTCAGTGGGAATACACACCTATGTGTCACTGAAAATACAAGTTAAATTTGACATGTTTGAAGTGTTTGCTCTTTAAATGCGGAACACATTCTTGCAAGAACAAGACACAGTATTCAGCAAACTGTCATCATTCTTTAGTCAGTGCTTCCTCCCAATACGGTGCCTCCGTTATTTAAAGAGACTCCTTAGAAACCATAGTGCACAAGCTGGGCTCAAGCACCTTGCTGATGGAGAGAGTTTCGCCCTCCCAAATGATCACCTTTACAAGTCTCTGGAGTGGCTGATTAAGAAGAGAGGCTGAAAGTCCACTGAATATGGCCATGGAACAGAAAACATGCTCTTGCAGCCAGCCAGATTGGGGCAGGCCACTGTATAGTAAGCAGTGAAAATGGAAAGACTTAGAGGGATAAGGAAAGAGGATGAAAAGGAAAGGACCTTAGTGGTACTTTATTGTATGTTAATTTTGATGGAAAGATCACAGGCAAGGCAGAGGAATTTCAGCAGGTGACCAAGATTCAAGAGGCTGTGAAGTGCTAGTCTTTCTATGCAGTGGTCTTTCCATGAAATGATGATGCCACCTTCTGTCGTACTGTCCATTGGCTTCTGCTATCCAAAAAGGGATTTGGTGCCTCAGAGTCTTAGAGCTAGCCGGTAGAATTTAGCTGCTTTAGGATAGACAGACATTGAATTTCATATAGGTAGAGTTTTGTCCTAAGATGATTTGGATGACAAACCTATCAATTTCTGAAGTTTATTGTATAAAGCTAGATATTTATGAAAGAGAAATGAGGATCCTTATTCATAACTGCCTGGCACAATGATTGGTGGATTCTCTTCTGAGAAGACATTTGTATTTGGTCAGAATTACTTAACTTTATTTTTATTGAATTCCTAATAACAGAGGAGAATCTGGTTCTGGAAAGACTGTGAACACCAAACACATTATCCAGTATTTTGCCACTGTCACCACCATGAGTGAATCCAGGAGAAAGCTGGTAAGTATATATGTATAGTAATAGGCAAGTGAGATGGCTTTATCTATTGAATCATGGAAGCTTTGCCCTAATCACTTATGAGGAAAGGAGATGGAAAGAACCACAGAAAAATTAGAAAAATATTTTTTTAAAAGTCTTTTTCATCTTCCCTTTACCCCTTAGAAGATCATCAAGTTCTCTAGTAATCTGAAAACATGAATTATATAATTTGCTTCAGATCTGATTTAAAGGACACTTACTGGTGTTTTCTTTGTTGGTTGGGTTCTCTGACCATTATACCCTCGATATTCAAACCATTTTACCACAAGGGTAAGATCATCAATGCCTTCAATGACCACTTTTGATACTTATAAATGTGTTTAGCTATAATGCAATGTCAGGTTCTCACAAATATGTACCAAATAAGTCTGTTTTGTTGTTGTTGTTGACAACTCCTGTACCAAATCCTGAAGGTGCAAAGAAAATACCCTTCACTTTAGTGATAGTGAATGTTCTGAAAAAATGTACCTTCCCTCTGTTTAATATTTTATCCTTGATGATTAATTTCATTTAATGTTTTTAAGCCCTACAACAATTTAGTAGGACTTTATAATAATTTGGGAATAACTAGACCATAAAAGTTGGCATATAAAATAAAATTAGAAGGTAATTTTGAGTAGTACTCAAAATTAATGAGTTATTGAGCTGTTAGACCTTTCATCTTTCCATGTCTCTTTTTTCTTTCTTCCTTCTTTTCTTTCTTTCTTTCTTTCTTTCTTTCTTTCTTTCTTTCTTTCTTTCTTTCTTTCTTCTTTCTTTCTCTCTTTCTTTCTCTCCTCCCTCCCTCTCTCTCTCTTTCACAGAATATCAACAAAGAAATATCAGAACTGAACCAAATCTGTGAACAAAAGGGCTTAGTGGTTTTCTACAGAATATTCCACTCCACAACATCAGAATACATATCCTTCTTAGCTATGGATGGGAAATTCTCCAAAATAGACCACATGCTATCTCATAGGATATGCTTAAGTAAATGCAAAGAAATTGAAATTATCCCATGCATATTATCAGACCATAGTGCAATGAAATTGGAAATCAATGGCAAAAGAAACTACAAAAACTATATACATACATGGAAATTAAATAACACCCTTCTGAACAACCAATGGGTCACAGATGAAATTAAAGAAGAAATTAGACAGTTTCTACAATTAAATAATGCTGACAAAACTAACTTTCTTTCTTTCTTTTTCTTTTCTATTTTGCTCTTGTGATTTGATCCTGGATGTTGCCTGTTGTTTTTGCTCAATGAAAAGTATATCAAAGTAGCCAACTGGTTCAATTTTTAAACTATAGAAAGTTTCTTTTTTGATGACCATATTTTTCAATTTGATTTCTTCAGGTACAGCATTAGTTGATTTGGTCTAGTCATTGTGTCTTATGATGATACATAATGTAGTATATACTGCATAAGACTTCCATGGAAATCTTTGCTTATACAGCTGTCTCACTCTAAGGACAGCAGACCCATTATATATAGAAGGGGTGTAATATTTGTAATCTATATAGTCTTGAATACTACATACTATATGATTATTCCTATACAAAGGTCTATAAAGATAAACGGAAAATAGCAAAGCCCTGAAGTAATGTCACTATTAGTTGGTTATTCAGGCTCACTCTGTGTAAGTTAACTGTTTTGGCCCAGTATACTGAGTGTGCATGTTTCAAATTCAGCATCAGTGCCATTATAAGTCACTGCTTGGTGTGAACTTCTTAGTTACTCTGGTATAGTAGAAAGCAAAATTAAAATTTAATAATACCAAGAGTCTGCTATATTATTTTAGGATAAATTTCCAGGTGTGAGGATTAGATGAGTGGAGAGGAAGATTAATAATAGCAATATATGCAATGAAATATGTCTGGAAATAGACTATGGTAGTTATTGTTTGTTTGTTTGGTGAATTTTCATTTTCTTTTCCCATGTAAGCCAAGGATAACCAAAACAGAGCCATTGCAAGTTAATTAGTTCCCGTAGGAACATTGTATATTGTATACATAGGAACATTGTATATTGAGTCACGCTCTTTCATTTATCTGTTTTTCTGAATTTCCATTCCAAAATAATATATTTTATAACAAAGTTTGAAGGAACTTATGGCTACTTATTATTAGAAAAATAATGAGGTTCCCCTTGGAAGATGTGCCATATTGTAGAATTGTGGTAAAAACTTAACTAGCTGTACTTTTGTTGCATGCATCTCAGGGGACTTCAGAAGATCAAATTGTGCAAGTGAATCCTATCTTGGAAGCATTTGGAAGTGCCAAAACTCTAAGAAATGACAATTCTTCTTGTTTTGTCAATAATATGATTTAGCATAATATAAGGGTCTTTAATTTTTAAACAATGGTAAAACTCGTATCTGAGCACATAGGAATGAAAAAAACCTAGAACATCAAAAAAAAAAGGTATTTGATTACATTCTATAATGCTGCTAGAGTCTTTGAAAAGTTTACAAGTTTTATCACTAAAACAATAAAAGCTACCTATAAATATGTATCTGAGAAACTTTTATTTTGGGCAGTTTCAGGAAGAATGTATTTTAACAGTTTCAAATTTCTTTCCTGTGCTCTAGGGAAACTCACAAAACAAATTATAATAATGTTGTATGTTTTATGCATTTGCAATTCTTTCTCTATAATTTTTTCCCCATTTCCTGCCCTCCCTTCACCCTCTCCACCCTTCCATATTTACGAGGACTTTATTTCCATTTTTTCCATTTCTCATCATTCTTCCTTTCCCTTCTTTCCTTTCCCCTGCCTCTCCCACTACCCCTACCCCTTTGGACCTTTTCTTCCTATTTTGCATTATCGATTATTCATTCTAATCATTGGTACATTTTAGGTATACAATATAATGACATTCATCATTGGAAATTTGCACCTTCACATAGTCTCTCTTGGTTATTATTTTTCCCCCTCCTCCTGGCCTCCCTTCAACCCCTCCATTCCTCCCTATCATACCACAGTGATATATGTGCACCCATGTTCATAGCAGCACAGTTTGTGATAGCTAAAACTTGGAAACAGCCCAAATGCCCATCAACTGGAGACTGGATATAGAAAATGTGTTTTTTTTTTAATAAAATGGAGTACTACTCAGCCAAAAAAACGAGAAATTAGAGACATTTATAGCTAAGTGGATGCACATTGAGGTGATACTCTTAAGTGCAATAAATAGGACACACATGTATAAATACCAAATAGTTTCTCTGGTGTGAGAAACTGAAAGTGTAAATAAGTACTAAAATGTATAATAGGTAATGTGAAATAGGAAGAAAAGGGGCAAAGGGAAAGGAAGTGGGAGGGTTAGGGGAAAGGAAAGAAGGGAATGGAATTAATACGAGAAAATGGAAAAATAGGAACAAAATCTTTCTCTATAATTTCCTGTACACCTCATAAGGAGTATACTTATTATAGATTTTCCAATTCTTTTACTGCAATTATTCATTGTACTCTTGCTTCTGGCCTACCTATCCCTACATATTTTCACTATGGATTTCTTTTAAGAAAAAGTAATTTTAAGTAGCTTTTGATAACTACAAGTCAGATGACAGAGGAAGAATCTAGATTTCAAAAATCTAGATTCACAAATCTATTTTGTACCAAGAATGAGTGGCAAGGAGCCACTGTATAATTTTGTGAGAAAATGTGTAGAGAACTTGCTGTTTGAGTCTCTAGGCATAATTAAATAATACTCTTGATTTGCCTAGGCGAAGCCTCGGAGGTGTCTTACCCACTTTTACATCTGTTTGCAATATTTGCTTGATCACAGCAGGTGCTAATACTAGTCCACAAAAAAATTGCTAATTCTGAGATTTTTAAAGTGTTAAGACATTTTTTAATGAGACATAAAAGATAAAATGGTGAAAAGAACAGATGGAATATGAAAGAAAAAGCAAGGCCAAAAAGAAAGAAAATAAAAGAAAGCTAGAGAAAAGTAAAAAAGGAAAGAAGAGATAGAAAAATGAAGAAGCAAAGAAAGCAACTGAAAGAGAACAAGAACAAATTTGGAAGGATAAAAGGGAAAAAATAAACATAAAGATAGTTGGAAGGAAAGGAAGATGAGAGAAAAATGCGTCCAATAAAAATCGAGAAACCCAGTTAAATTCTTTCAGTTAATACTATAGATGTATGCATACATATGTATTTGTATGCATGTGTACACGTGTGCAGACATTCACGTATATCTTGTGTGCGTGTGTGTATGTGGCTCCCATTATCCCATATTCTTCAACCCTTCTGTAGTCACTTTCCCTGCCAAGGCACCTGCTATGGTGTCTTCCTGGCATGGCTTGACCTTTGCCAGGCTGCCTTCTGCTGTGCTCGAACATTATCATCCTGCAGGCTCTACCTGCCACTAGACAACCTCCTCCATTTCAGCTGGTATTGTGACATGGACACTGTCCACCTGGATAGCATTTTTCTCTCCCAGATCCTGCCTTTTAGCTTTTTATTGAGAAAGAAGGAAGGGTGTTCATCTATTATTTATGCCAAGGTGTCGCTTACGATATAAATCAGATAATATCACTCCTCTGTCTAAAACTTCCCAGTATCTCCAGAAAACACATGAAGTAAAGCCCTACATTTTCCTGTGTTCCTCATGGCTCGCATGATGTAGTGCTTTTCTATCTCTTACAGTTCTTTATATACCCTATTTTCTCTCACCAGCTAAGCCACAGTACAAATGAGTTTTCTTCTGATTTCAAAACATGCCAAATGTTCCTTTGTTAGAGCCGTTGCATTTGCCACTTACCCTCTAGAATGTATATTCCAAGTAGGCTATGCCTACTTTTACTGTGTGGCATCTCCAGTGTCTGGCAGGTTTCTTGGATCATAGTGTTTGCTCACTGAATGTTTGTTAAGAGAATGAATGGAATAGCTGAGCAGATATTATATTCCTCATTTTTAGATAAGCATATTGAGGCTCCTAGAGTCTTTTCCATGCACACAAGAATACATATAGATAGCAGTTGACAAATCTTAGACCACATGTTAGAACCACTGCTAATCCTGACAATCATTCTAGCTCCCTGCAGACATCAAGGAGATGCCATGTTGCATTTTATTTTTTAATCTTTGAAGAAATATATAATGAAGCCATTGTAACTGCTTGCAAAACTTGTGGAAAGTTTGAATGGTTTGTGTTTTTTGTCCACCTAGGGAAAATTCATCAGGATGTACTTTGATGCTAGAGGCATGCTCTCATCTGCAGACATTGAGATCTGTAAGTAGCCATTGCACTATCTGATTACTTTTCTTCTACATTTCTCAAGAACAGGTAAGTATGAATCTTTATTCATTCTTCACCTACCCAGATTTGTTTGAAAAATCCCAGGTGATTTACCAACTGCCTGGAGAGAGGAACTACCACATATTCTATCAAATTCTGTCTGGAAAAAAAGAACTTCATGGTATGTATAAAATTCTGGGGCCGAGAGTCATTTCCAGAATGGGAGAGAAACATTCCAGGGACTGGAAAGTTCTGTGTTAGGAAGTCTCATTGGCTTTTTATCCTCAGGCAATAAACACTATATATCCAGTGCTGTGGCTTCTGCTTGTAATCCTAGCTATTTGCAAGGCTGAGGCTGTAGAAATGCTTGAGCACAGGAGGTGGAAGTCAGTCTGGTTAACATAGTAAAAACCTTGTCTCAGAAAAAAAAAAAAGGAAGAAAGAAAGAAGGAAAGAAAACTAGATAAAATTTCAAAGAGTAGTAGGTCTATAAACAAAACTAAAGTAGTGTGAAGGGATAGAGAGAATGGAGCCTGGTAGGGTTGTAAGTGGTTATATGTTAGAGAAAATAATCAAGTGATTTCTCTCTAAGAAGGCACTAGGTTTGCATAGGTAGGAAGTAGGCAAAGGTTTTCAGGCATAAAATTTTAGGAGAAGGAATGGTGAATTTGTGGGTGGTAGAAGGTAAGAAAGGAGAGCTAGGAAGTAGCCAGATCAAGTAGCCCCTCTTGGCCATGCGAGAAGCATTCAATTTTAAATGTTATGGGAAGTCATTGAAAGTGGAAAGGGAAGGGGAAGGAGACATAAAAATTAAGACGTGTTATGTATGTGTATCGACTCACCATGATAAATGTAATCATTATGTGCTGCAATTTTAATTTTTATTTACTAATAAAAATTAAAAATTTTAAAAATGGAACGGGACAACTGATAAACAGATTAGATTCATTTGAGGTAAACCATTGACAACAATGCTTCTAGAAGACTGGAAGTAGCCTGAAGTTGCAGATGTAGGTTAGCAGGTGGATGGAAAAAATTATGCCAGTCTATTTTGTGTAGACTAAGTTTTTTTTTCCTTAAATTCTTTTATTGGTACATTTTATATATACAGTATGTTTACATTTATAATTGGGTGCTTGTATCCGTACATGATGTATCTTGGTTCTTATTTTTTCCCCATTACCTGTGCACCCTTCATAGACTAAGTTTAATAAAAATAAGGCTGAATTTTGACTAGTCTTCAATTTCTGAGTGCCCACATGAGGTAGGAAAAGCTTTGAAAACTAGATAATTATTTTTGCCATAAGTATAATTGATGATACTAGCAGCTATTTCTTCCTTCTATCCACTTAATCTTCAAAAAGGATTTATTTTTTATTATTTTAAAAAATCTTTTGTCCTTCCACTGATTGATTATATCAAGTCTAACATTCTCTCTTTTTTTTATACCCTCTCTGGACCATGGTTCTTTCTTATGTAGCATGCAGTTCTCTAGGCACAGTCCTGCTCTCCTAAGCCTCCATATTCCTCTAGCCTCAGAAAGATGCCGGGACTTACTAGTTCTGTTTCAGGGTACAGCTCCACTGCTGCCTGCTTGGAAATTCTTAGGCTCTTGAACCCTGTCTCGTAGGAGCATTTTCCCTTCAATCTCACATTGGTCTCAGCTAGATACAAATGGGAACCCCAAATATTTAGCATGAAGCCATTGTTGGTTTGAGCATTAAATCCTAAGGTCCCCAGGAGGCCTGGGGAGGATCAGCCCATTCTCCACCAGCTTCTCTTCTAACTTTGCCTCTCCTCAGATTTTCATCAGTATCTTAATTTTATTTTAATAAGCAATATATTTACATCATTCAGATTTCAAAAAGGTAAGTAACATGTACACAGGATGTCAGTCCAATCCTTTCCATCCCATTCAAAAATTTTTCTATTTATTCTTCTAATAGTTCCTGACTTGAATGTATGTGTGTATACACATAAAGCAAAGAATTACATAGATTCTGCTTTTACCCTTTGTACCATACAGTTATCACACGGAAAAATATCTGGATACACTTGCACATATAATTTTAATTGTGGTGAAATACATAGAACATAAAATTTACCACCTTAAACATTTTATGTGTACAGTTCAGTGGTATCAAATATTTTCATATGGTTGTATAGTCATCACCATCATTTCATCTGCATAAATATCATCTTGCAAAACCAAAACGATATCTATTAAACAATAACTCCTCATTACCCCCTGACAGCACCATTTACTCTCTGGGTTTAAGTACTTATATAAAGGGGTCATATAGTATTTTGGTGACTGGCCTATTTCACTTAGCATAATGTCCTTAAGGTTTATCTATGCTTCCTTTCCTTTTTAATTTGAATAATATTCCACTATAAGTACAGAACACATTTTATTTATTCATTCCTCCATGGATGTATATTTGGGGTGCTTCTATCTTTCAGCTATTGTGAATAATGCTAATATGATCACAGGTATACAATAACCTCGGAAGTGGGCTTAGAGTTTCATATGATAATTCTTTATATATATATATATATATATATATATATATGATAATTCTTTTAAAATTTCTTTAGGGAATTCGATACTGTTTTCCATAGTGGCTGCATCATTGTATATTTCCATAGACAGTGCATAAGTTTTCCAAAACAGTATTTGTTTTCTGGGTTTTGCTTTGGATAGTAGCCATCCTAATGGTTATGAGGTATCATTGTGGTTTTGGTTTGTATTTCCCTAACAACGACCAATGTTAAGAATTTTGGGGGATGTTTATTCATCATTTTGTCCTTAGCTTTTGGCTACTATAGGCCTTGAGCAACTTGCTGGCTTCAACAGCAACAGAAACATTAGGCTTCTTGTTGAGGCCACCTGTTTCCAGTAGTAGTATGGTATGATTATCTTGGTTTATTTCCCTACTCCTCTCAGATGAATGTTTAAAATCTTTATCAGCCTCCAAGGTGAGTCTCTGCTTTTTCTACCAGCTGTGAAGATACTGCTGAATCGTGGTGTCTTCTCTAACTCTCTTCATTTTATTTTTTTTTTGCACTTTATTAAATTCTTTTATTGGTACATTGTAGGTATACAACACAATTACATTTCTCATTGGGAATTGTACCTTTA